AGGTGTGACTGGGTGGCAGGCGACTGCGTTACTGTGCACTAAAGGTGTGACTGGGCGGCGAGTGACTGTGTTACTGAGCACTAAGGGTGTCACCAGGAGACAGGTGATGAGCTGCGTTACTGGGCACTGACAGTGTGACCGGGTGGCCGGTGACGCGCTGAGTTGCTGGGCACTGAAGGTGTGCACCTTCCTTTCAGAGAGGCTGGTGGAGAGCCTGCGGCTGCCGCAGGTACCAACACTGCACTCTCAGGTGTTCCTGTTCTTCAGAGTGCTGCTTCTCAGAATGTCCCCGCAGCATCTCACCTCGCTCTGGCCTACCATGATCACAGAACTTGTGAGTCACTTTAACTTCAGTCCAGTTGTAAATCTAAATTATTAAACATTATTAGTTTCCATGTGCTCACTGGATAAAAAGCAAATCTTGGAAGAACTGAACTCTAGTTAAACCATTAATTATCCATTGTTACAGCTGAAGTAGTAAAACAAATCAGATTCCATCTCCACAGAGCTTAAACTTGCAGGTGCACAGCCTGATGGCAGCTCCTTGAGTGTTGCCACTTTGTGGACCTGGTGGGGTGGCCAGTCACTCCTGCCCACGGCAGTAACTGCGCATAGCCTGCAGGCTCAGTCCACATAGTGGTGTCTCTGGTCATAGAGATGGTTAACCTGGATCTAAATGCCCGGACATACACATCTGAAGTGCTTCAGAGAGCCTTGCACAGAGATTCTGTAAACTCCCCAATAGTGAAACCTTCCAAATCCCGCCTACCCCACTCAGTTCCCTTCCCCTGTCACTCTGGTCCTCATGGGAATGATTCAGGAAGTTGGGAAAGAGGGACCAGTAAAGGGAGGAAAAGGGATCCATATCTCCAAAAACCCAGCTTTATAATTTCTCCACAAAGAAATTCCCTTTAACATTTCTTTTTTTATCTTTTTTTTTTAATTAACTGTAATTCTGTTCCATAATCACTGAAAACAAAATCCTGCCTTCCTCACCCTGGACTCTGCCAAATGACTAGCCTGGCTCCGGGAGGTTGAGTTTGTTTTTTTTTTGTCAGGAACTAAAGTATAATTTAAATATCCTAAAGATATAAAATATCCTAAAGTTTGTTTTAGTGTTAATGAAAATACAGCGTAAAATAACTAAAAGAGTGGAATTGGAATGTCCCTAACTCAAAGACATGTTTAACGCCTGAAGTGATGATGCCCTGGTTTGATTAATGTACATCTTATGCCTGTGTCATCATATACTTTATAAAGACATACAACTGCCATAATCAAAAATAAAAAAAATTTAAAAAGAAAATATGGCCTAAAGATAACTTGAAAAGATTAAATATCTGGTTTAAATAACCATTGAACATTTATTTCTTGGTCCTCAGGTCCAGGTCTTTTTACTGATGGAGCAGGAGCTCACTGCTGATGAAGACATATCGCGGTAACTAATGTGTGCAGCTAGGTTTCAGGGTGTTGTTGTCAGTTTTTCATATATCCTGAAATCATCCAGAATGTTACTCAGCCACTAGGACAGCATATATAGAGTTTTATCTGAATATTTTATATAGTCCATTATTATCTAATGATCAAGTTTAGAAATACTTGAGTTTCACTTACTCCTTAAGATTTTACACTAATCAATTAGCATGTATGGCCTTTGGCCTCTAGACACAAATTTAGTTTAAAGCAATTCAGTATTGTCTCAGCTAAATGAGCTCTGTGCTGGTTTTGTCAGGTTAGATGTAGTCCCTGAAACAACATAACAGACATCATACACATGATACCTTGGTTATGCCAGGTAACCAAGTTATCTATGTCCAAATCCTTCAGAAGATATCATATGTCCAAATCTTTTCACTAGAAGTAGTTTGCTAATGGATAGCTAAATATGTTTTTTTTTTATTTATAGAGAATTTTTAGGCCTATTTGTTAATTGAGAAGTCCCTTGAAGACCCTAAGTCTTGACCTTATTTTGCTGCTCTTGGCAAGGTTTATAAAGAGTCTCTGGTACTAATAACTGTCTGTTACTACAAAGCTGCTCCCCGGCTATTTCTAGGCTTTATAATTTATATGTTTATGTTTCTCGACTGTAATTCAAGTCATGTACAGTTTTTACTTTCTTCAAAGTTAAAGAACAAAACTGAAATTTTTGTTTGAGAACAGAAACGTTAATTTAGTCGTGAACTTGCTTAGCAAATACTGGTACATTTACACCAAGACGATCATGAAGAATATTAGCTGGCCCCTGTAGATTTTCCAGAGTTCCCTGACAGTGCAGCTGCTGACCGTCCTGCCTCCTGCTCACAGGACCTCAGGCCCCTCCGTGGCTGGTCTGGAGACGACCTACACAGGTGGCAACGGCTTCTCCACATCGTACAACAGCCAGCGGTGGCTAAACCTCTATCTCTCTGCTTGCAAATTTTTGGATTTGGCTCTGGCATTGCCCTCTGAAAATCTTCCTCAGTTTCAGATGTAAGTAAAACTAAAATATATTAAGTGGATATTTTTGAAAATGCATTTGCTTTGGTCACTGACACATAAGCCTAGTTTAAAGTTCCTTGTGTATGTTGACATAATTTTTGCTAAAATGTAATTTTTTGGCAGGGGGTGGGCAGTAGTTAACTGAGGGCCCTGAAGATGTGGGGCGGTGGGTGCACAGCTCATGAGTGCACAGGCCAGTGATGAAGACTCACAGGAGAGGGATGGACAGGCTCAAGTTGCTCAGAACAACAACTGGGAGGCCACAGGGCAGAAGCTCCGCCTGCAGCTCTGAAGGTCAGAGCCGGGGATGAGGGGGGTGGTTAAACTGTGAAGAGTGCCAGCTGGGAAAGGGTGGCAGGAGGCAACTACGAGGTTCAGGTGCAGGAAGGTCAGCATCCTGCCCAGACTGGAGAGGAGAGGCCGGCGCCGAACAAGTGCTGTCAGCCTCCTAAGCTGCCCTCAGAGCTGGCTGTGTCCTGAGGAAAGTGGGAAGCACGAAGCTTGAAGGAGTGAGCGATGTCATCAGGCTTGCACTTTGGAAAATGTGTGTACGGGCTGCAGAAAGGGCCCGCGAAGGGCTGGACCAGGCTGCTGGGCCTGTTTCATTTTAGAGGATGGTGAATTAAACTTCCCTACAGGGAGGGAATTGATGGAAGTAAATTCTCACAGGCCTTGTTCATAAACGGTCAAACATACTTAGTTTCATCTGAATTTTTAAAGTATCAGGCAAACCGTGATCTTATCAAAATGAAGCTAGGGTCATTTGAGAATTTATTCACAAGAGCAAATATACATTTATAGAATGTATTATTATAGTATTCTTCTGCAATGGTATATTAAGGATATAGTATAAAGATATAGTGTAAGATATCAGAATCTTTTTTATGTTTTTTTATTCAGACATGCTTTTAAATCTCAAAAATATTGCTATTTCACAAGGTTACTTTCATTAAATTTAATAGACAGAACTAGAATTTATTTTTAAGTTAATTTCAGTTCCTTTCATTTTCTTTTCCACTTGAAAACTGTATACATCTACTTCTTGGTGAATTTAGTGGTTAACTATCTGTTACGTTGATATCACTCTCCATAAAGTCCAGAAAAGGACAGTGAGAAGAACAGTGCTCAGGGGTGTCAGACGAGCTGAGAACAGTGCTCCGGGGGATGTCAGACTGTGCCCTTGGAGCTGACTTCCTGCCTCTAGGACAAGGACCAAAGGACTTCACACTCCTTCTGGAGATGCTATCACAGAAATGGAAGCATGACATAATGTTAGCTGTAGTTTTTTAAAAGCTACGTATTTTTAAAAATTAAAAAAAAAAAATCTCTAAGTAGAAGAAAACATGGAAAATATAATAGGTGATAATCTTCAAAGAGTAATATCTAAGTATGATCTAAATTTTGTAAATTCAAAATATTTGATAATTTTTCTACATATAAATTAAAAAATATCCATATAACTAAAATGTACCATAAAGTATTATACAAGAGTAATGAATTGAGAAAAGATACTTGAATGTATCTGACAAAAGTCTAACATATTTAATGTATAGAAATCAATAACTTTGTAGCAAAATGGGCCAGTGGACAACAGAGTTGGTAGTTCACAGAATGGCTTCTAAACATAGAAATAGGTGTTCACCTGTACTCAGAAGAGAAATTCCAATTTAAACTAGAGATAACCATCAGAGTGGTAAAGATCTAAAAGTTTCTTTCTTTTACCCATAACAGAAGATTGTTATTGTTGCTGAAAGTGTACACTGGTAAGTGTCTAGTTGTTCTCCAAATTTAAAATACATTTTCTTGGCAAGGCATGGTGGCTCACACCTGTAATCCCAACACCCTGGGAGGTTGAAACCAGTGAATCTCTTGGAGACCACCCACTGAGCAAGAGTGAGACCACATCTCTACTAAAATAGAAAAACTAGCCAGGCTTTGTGGTGGGTGCCTATAGTTCCAGCTATTCTAGAGGCTAAGGCAAGAGAATTACTTGAGCTCAGGAGTTAAGAGGTTGCGGTGAGCTAGGACACCACAGCCCTCTACCCAGCACAACAGAGTAAGACTCTGTCTCTAAAAAAAAAATAAAAAATAAATAAAATATATTTCCTGAGACTTCTTATTCAGCAGGCCAGTCTTTCCCATCCCTCTTGAAGCCCCTTTCTTTGAACTTGAGGAGATGGCCTGCATTGATGGCATAGATGAGGCGAGTGTGGTGGATTAAACAGTGAGCCCCAGAGAGGGGTCTGAGGGTTCCACACTGCTAAATTCCAAGAGGAAGAAGGGCCTATCAGCAGGAAGTGCAGGTGGCTTCAAGAAGCTGGAAAAGCAGATAGCTGTCTCTGGTAGCAGGAAGAGAATGGGTGTCACGGGCGGGATGTGGCCCCAGTGTGGCCTTCACTGTGATGTTCTAGGCAAGAGATGCCATGTCGGGTTTGCTACCCGGGTCTTGAATATTTCATATGTCAGAAGTGGTGGGTTCAAACCCAGCCCCAGCCAAAAATTGCAAAAAAAAAAAAAAAAAAACCCCAGTTGATCCTGAAACCAGTGAAGGCAAAGTCACTGTGAAGACCAGAGAGTCTCCACCTTCCCGTGGCTTTGGCTGAGACAGGATAAAAAATGGGATTGAGAGTAAAGAAAAGTTTTCAAACTTTTAGAGAAGGACTGACAATTATACACCATGGTTAGTGTTAGGGTCAGAATGATTCTAAACCTAATAGTCTAATTAGTGACAATGACCATTGATGGGTAGTGTCCTTATGCTATGGACACACTTCTAGGGCTGACATTAAATATCTCCCCCTGTCAGCAGCACAGAACCTGCTCTCTAGGCTGATCTCAAGCCACTGTCACCTCTGTAATCAATAAATTTCCCAAGAATGGAAAAAAAAAAATATATATATATATATAGTAAGCAAGTAATTATACTATATCCAAGGACCTATCCTATCACTGTACTCTCAGATGTGCACAAAAATAAGCATTCTATAAGGGGATTGCAGCATTTTTCTAAGAGCAAGAGATTTGGACAGTCTGGGCACTGGTTAAATCAGCACCTTTCTGTCTCACACCTGTCATCCTAACACTTCAGGAGGCCAGAGCAGGGGCATTAGTTGAGGCCAGGAGTTTGAGGTGAGCTTGAGCAAGAGTGAGACAGTCTGTACAAAAACTAGAATTAGCTGGGCATGGTCGCACACGCCTTCTCAGCTACTGAGGAGACTAAGGCAGGAGGATCGTGTGAGTCCAGGAGTTTGAGGTTCAGTGAGCCGTGACGACGCCACTTCACTCTAGCCTGGGTGACAGAGCAAGCCTTGTCTCAAAAAAAAATCAGTACTTTCCCAAACTTGAGTACTATATAGCTGTTAAAAATAGGGTTTTTAGGACACGGGATGATTTCCAAGATACACAATTAAATCACAACAAGCAGCAACTGCCAGGTGCCGTGGCCCATGCCTATAATTCCAGCTACTGGGGAGACTGAGGTGGGATGATCCTTGAGACCAGAAGTTTGAGACCAGCCTGGGCAACTGGCAAGACTCCATCTCTTAAAAAAATTTTAGAAAAAACAAGCAGCAATCATGATTTATGTCTGTGTATTTGTTTTAAGGAGAGGGTTGGTTGTACAAATATGTGTTCTCTGCATAAGTCTCTGGAAGAATATAACTGACAGCAGTGATGGGTCCTTTGGTGGAAGGGAAGCTCTTTTGTCCATAATCAGATATTACTTTTACTAATAAACAAAGCCCTAAGATGATAGGAGATGTCCATAATCACTCCTTCTACTTCGCCTAAACTCCGTCAGTTCTGTGCTTCCTTCCTGTGTCATTAGGGAGCTGTTAGCCAATTAAATGTTGAGAAATCAGCTTTTTGCCAGACTGAGAGTAAGGAAAGCAATTTCCTTGTATGAGCCGTTGTCTGCTAGCTAAGGGGGAAAGAAACATTTGTTGAGTATCTGCTTTGTGCTCAGGAAGAAAATGCAGTGATGAGCCCTGCACGTGCTCCCCCCATTCACTCCTCACAGCCCTGCAGGTGATGAACAAGAGCTGTG